CCGTAAATATCGGTACAGATATATAGTAGCTCTTTTAAGATGTCGCTCCCGCCCTCCCTTATTAACCCCTCTATAATAAAATAGTAATGTATCCATTATCCATCGACCCTCGTATTAAAACTGCGGATAAATGCGACCCCTTGCGGTGAAAATATTGAGGGTGATTTGGTGCCTAATTTCAGACTGGTGATTTTGTCAACCCAGGGGCTTCATTTAGCTCAGAAAAATCTTTACTAATATATACAGTTTATTTGTTAGAACGCGCTAATCTTAGGAGGATTTATCTTATTTGTGTGTTGGTTAGAGCATTTATCGAGGGGGGTTAATAGGCTATAAATTATCGCGCTGCCACTAATAGGAACGAAGAAACAGCGGAAAAAATATTCATCCAGTACACATTTAAATAAAACACAACGGTTTAGAAAGTGAAATATATTAGTCAAAATATTTTTAATTCAGCCGTGGTCAGGGGACATTATCGTACGAATATTTCGCGCATTAAACCGTTAAAAGTTTTTATTTAGAGTTGTATTCATTTTACGTTTTAGAATCTATATTCAAATATTTTCAAACTGCTTTATAGTGATTAATTTCGTTTGTGAGCTTTAATTTTTTGTGTTAGTATACTGCCATCTGGTGATGTTAAAAACTAACATGTACAAAGCTAAGGTTTGCACCTCTGATTATCATATGTAGTTTACCTTTTATCACCTAGGTGGCGCTATATTAAAATGTTAAACTTTGTTCGAACGAATTAATTCTGGTTTTGATTTTAAACGTGGATATTTATAGTATAGTATATTACTGTTTTATTAATGTATATTGATAATGAAAACAAACGGTATACTTCTTCTATTAAATTAATTTTTCACTAGCTAGTGCCCGCGACTTCGTCTACGCAGGATTAGGATTAGGATTACGTAATATCGCGCATTTAAACCGAATGGTGTCTATCATATCATACATTAAATAATTGTGTGTAACTAACGTTTATGGCAGCGCACGCCAGAATAGCTCGCAGAAAGGTAGGTTTTTCCCTAGTTACTTACTTGACACTTAATGTCATATTTTGGACAGCTCACACAATATCTTTATAAATTGTAGCCCATGTGTTATTCTAGCTTTCTAGCGATAATATTGGAAGCTTTAATTAAAATCCATTCAGTAGTTTTTGCGTGAAATAGTAACAAACATCCATCTACACATACAAACTTTCACGTTTATTATATTAGTAGGATTTATTAATGTAGGACGTTTGTCTCCTTTCAAATCGTTCGTAAAGCGAGTTACTTTTTAATTGAATACTTTTCTCGTTCCAAACTCAGTCATGTCTGTAACAACTTTGAATGTACGAGCGAATGCAAACAAAATTGAAAAGCCATTTGTAACAAAGAGAAATTTCTTCTATCTTCTTAAGCAGAAAAATTACAATAACAGAGAAATACTTGTACAATGATTTCTTAAAAATCAAGGTATATAATAAAAGGACTTCCTAAAAATCTTTTTGTAATTAACCTTGTGTTGAAGATATTTAAAAGACACTCCTTAATATAGTTGTATACAATTAAAGAAAACACTTTAACGGTTTAAAACACGAAATATATTAGTAAACACTTATTTAAAACTTAGTTTAACTTCGGCCCGATGTTTCAGATGCTTTGCGCTGCAACTTATTTGACAATATTTTTTAAATAAGTTTAACTAATCTATTCCGCGTTTTAAACCGTTAAAGTGTTGTATTTAAATCTTTTTTACTCTTAGATTCTTTTATAGATAACTGGCGACGATAAAATGATCTAAATAATTGCCTGACCCGTAATAACTTCACAGATATACCCGTCCCGAAGCAACGAAATCTTGGTCCCACAAATAAAACGGAAAATGGCGAATATTTTTGGATGTAAAATAAAAATAAATGAATAGTGATGTCCAAGTATGGTCTATATTCCAAGTAAAAATTGTTCTGCGAGGTTAATTCTATCATTGATCTCCGAAAACAAAAACTAAATTGACAACCAATACTAAATGAAGAGTGTGAGAGAGCATTATTTTTATAAGCTCGTAATCGCGTGTAAAATGCAAATATTATATATTATAGTGTTTTAAGTTAACTTATTTAAATTATTCTTAACGGTTTAAAACGTGAAATACATCGGTTAGCTTATTATTATTTGAACTACAGCCGGACATTTCGGATGTTTTTCATGATCACGGGGAACTGGATATTCCAGCTTTAAAGAAAGCCCTAATACCAAAGAAAAATCTGTTTCGTCGTAATAATAATAATTTTACCTATCTCTTTTTTATATAACATATTGATTATTGGTGCGTACGTTTGACACAAATTTTAGGTAGATATTTTCAGAGGAAACTATATTGGTGTATTTAAATAAAATAAAAATTGTATTTACTTCTTGATCTTGTTTGTTAGATAAAGTTCTAATTGTGAATGTTGTGTTTCTGAATAAATGTATTCTATTATTTATCAGATTACTTGTAATCTGATAATTTCTATAGTCGATGAAATGTTCAACTATCGATATCTGATGGTACATCACTAATGAAACAGAAGGTCAGGGTGAATGGTAAAACGATAGCTCCCGATTTGTTGAACGTATTCAATTACGGATATTTCTGGATTTACGGGACTAAATCTCGGATTTACCAGAACTAAATTAGTGATTGCTTGCGTATGTTCTTATCAATAGTAATCATATACGGTCTATAGTTTACGCGAGTAGTACACATTTAAATAAAACAATATAACGGTTCAAAACGTGATATATATTAGTTAAACTTATTTGATTATTATTTTAACTACGGCCCGACGTTTCGGATGCTTTACAGCAACCGTGGTCAAAGAGAAGTGACAGTTAAAGTTTTGAATGACTAAGTATGTGTTAAAATTGCGGTGTTAATTTTAAGAAATAGAGAAACTTTAAATTTTGCATCTGTCAACCCTCAAATGTCTCTCATAAGATGCTGGGGCTTTTATTCTTTTATTAATCTTCATCTCTAAGTGCACGGGCGCCCCTGTATCTGTTGACGAACAGTCAAAAACAGACGAACGTAACTAAGAAATATTGTGACAGATGCTCTCTAGTTATTTTCGTTATTTACGAATAGACTAAGAGACGACGACGAGTTTACCTTTTGTGTTTAATTTTGTAGAGAATTTTCATTCAATGTACCAATTAGAGAACATGTTACATTCTCTGCTTTCGGAAAATATATGACAATAGCTAATAAGTGTAGTTTGCTTCAGGAAATGTAAATTCTTAGGTAGAAAGGACGATAACTAAGCACGGCAATTTTAAGTAGTCAAAATATTTGTGTTTAGTTACCAGTACTATCAAAGACATATTTAATCTTATGAAAGAGAAAAACGACCGTCACATAATTATTGCTAGTATTTCCTTTATTTTTTTTAACCCGGGAAACAATTGAAAATACATACAATATTATACCATGAGAAAGTAAGTAAAATAAAAAAGAGATATGATAGGTTTACAAAATGATTTTTTTCCTTTTTATTAAAACCAGTATACAATTAAAAAAACATATTTTTAAAATCGGTTTTCTTATCCGTTACTCGTATGACATACCTACCTATACTAACTTGAATTTGGTGTTCAAGTTAGCTAACTAATTTTAGCTACTTCCTAAATTGTTTAGGCACCATGTATTGTTAGTTAAGGTGACTTATCGTAATAAATTTAAGTATGTGTATAGTATTATACTTATTGACACGGAAACAAACACTTTATTACAGACAACAAAACAAAATATTACACACTAAAAATTTTTAAAATCAAAGACATTGTAATATAACTATAAAAATATACGATAAATTAAAGGATCTTGGTTTTTTCATACAAATAAATGGCATATAAGAAAATAATATCTTTCCACATCATTAATATTTTGAAACACTTGTATACTTGATAGCAAAAAAAAATGTGTAATAGTTGTTTTTTGCTAATTCAAAAAGAATTCCTGTCCCTAAAAACTAGGTCGATTCTACATGTATTTTGACTTCAAAACCTGCCAATAAACATTATATTTTTAAAATTGTAATAATTCTTCCGGCAATTATAGTTACACGTATGTACGCTAGTATAGTTTTGCACGCATTGTAAAAAATAACTGACTCTCGGTCTAAAGCCCTTGTCTTTGAAGTGTCAATTATTTTGGAAAAATAACATTTCGTGGGATTACATATTATTTTAATGTAACACAGCTTTCTCTATAACCAACGACGCAAATGTTTTTAATTACGCTATTGTGAAATTAATTCCACATAAATTTTGTCATTTGCGTGCGTCAGGGTGGAGTAGTCTATACTAAAAGGTAAGAATTTGTTTGAACGAGCTGATATCGGAATTGAAAATGTATTTATGTGTTAGTTGGATCGTTTATCGAGGAAGGCTTTATTTTATTAAGCATCCGAGTGTGACCAATAGGCGCAAAGAAACAGTGAGAAATAAAAAAAAATGAGAAAGATATTATTTTTTGTTGGGAACCCTCGTTACGTGCGCTGCGATAACGGTTCAAGATATCGAAAGATATCTACGAAAGAATAATTCCTCTTGAAATGATCTTAAAAAGCATCGGGGACGTTATGTTTATATTTTAAGACTAGCGGCGACAGGGACTACAAACCTACTTATCTTTATATACTAATCATAGTTACTCGTGGGTTTCACCGTTCTCGTCCCGAAGTTCTTTCAAGTTAATCTTTAAAGTATTATAACCTAAAGTCTTCCTCGATAAATGCTCTAACACAAAAAAAATATCGAACCAGTAGTTCCTGAGATTAGCGCGTTCAAACAAACAAATACAGCTTCATAATATTAGTATGGATTAACTCACAACGGTTTTAATTGCAATCAAGTATAGTTCTAATTACTTCATATGCCAAAAAATCGATTGTCAAGTCACCTAGTTTAATATAAAACTTGCCTTAAACAATATGGTAATGGAAATTTCGAAAGCACAACATGACGGATACCATAACTCATGAGGTTAAGAGAACGCCCTTTCAAGTTGAGATCTGCCCATTGCAATTTTATACCGTTCGGTAGGGTCGGCGGTTCACGATAGAGCAACCGATGCATCAGGAGAAACAAAACAACGAAGAGGTTTGGCATTACTACAATCGGACTGTGTTAAACGAAAACTTTTATCATATTAGGTGACATTTTGAGGACACGCTAGTAACTATAGTTTATGCGAGTAGTACGTCATTTGTAATGTCGGGCTGAAATTAACTTAAAATGTGTTAAATTCGATATTTCGCGTTTGAAACAGTTAAAGTATTTTATTTAAATGGAATATATTTTTTATACAAGAAAGTAATTAATATAAGTTTCATTTACATATGTTGTCATTTAACATAACAATTATATTTAAAAGTGTTACATGTTAACATCTAATTTTAAACATATTCTATAAAGAAAAGCAACATGAAAATTAAAGTTTTTAAAATTCGGAAACGCGAAAATAACTGTACCCTGTCGGTGCATGCAACAGGTACTTTAAAACCATTACGTTTTATTATTACATAGTCTAGTGGAGGAGCTTAAGTTAAGAAACACTGTAATTTGAATAGATTAGTGCTTAGACCTTTAACATATAATGGAGTATTATTTTATATTATAGTATGCAATACATTTTTACATTATTCTGAAGTCTGCTGTTCTATTTTTAAACTAATCATGTTAGACGGGGTCTTTTGTATAATGGTAGCAATATAAGGGTAATAATAAACGGGTCATGGGTTCGATCGCTATTAGGTCCGACTTTTATCTAACAAATTAATATTTTTTTTGAAACATGTAGTGTTCCTAGATGTTAAATGTGTGGTGAATATTAACGGGGGGCCGGGGGACCCCCCCCCCCCCCCCGGGCCGCGGGGGCGCCGGGGGGGGCTTTTGGGGTTCCCGTCTGTGGATTTCCGAATATCCAAGGAAAAATAGAGTAACAGCGCATCTTATAAGAGTTGTAAATGGGTGTTAGTAATAGAAGGTGTGTATTTAGTGGCACGTTACAACATTAGAAATAAAAGATTAAAAATGATAAGTGTTGTCTAAAATTCTGACAATCAAATAAAATATTTGTTACTATTTAAAACTCGGATTCTTTGCAGCAGTCGTGTTCACGGTGGTCATAGTCAAAATAGAAGTTATAATATAAATAAGTTAACTAATACACTTAACTATATAGTAACTTATACAATGACCTATTTCTCTTCTGTTTCAGGGCAACACCTAGATTGGTTGGATCAGAGTCGTCTTATAAACTCAGTCCACAGGAAATCGAAGCTTTAAATGTGGTAAGAAATTGTCCAGCTTCTATTTATTTATTTATTCCCGCCACCCATTTAATATCCAGATTTCAAGACAAAATGGAATTCGTTTCAGAAAAAAATATAAATTGTTTAATAAGCGACATTGTTCTAAATATTTTTCCAAACTACCCGCGGCGTTTTGAATTCGGAGACGTAACAATTATTTTGCAAAAATAATTGATGCTAGAATTTTCAGTGACTGCATTAAATACTAACTAATTAAGTTTTTGAATTGAAATTCTTCGCAGAATTGTTTAAAAGCTTTGTTGTTAAACCTGAAACGTCAAGTTGCAGTTAAAATAACTAAATATAGTTAGCGTTAACTAAAGACAATACTTAAGTAGATTAAAAATCGATTTTAGATTGAAACAATTTTACGAGACGGGCAGGACTTGATCATTGTAGCTCAATTGCTTAGAGCGACACCATGGAACTCTGTTGAAGCCGGTTTGGACGTGTTTTTTATCGATTTTTAATTTATATAATGTCATCGTGTGCAATAACATGTGATAAATTTTATTTTATTTTATTTTTAAGATAATTAGTTTAAATACGTCAGTACCTTAAAATCCATACTAAACTGTTTCCTTGCATACGGCCCTACCGATCTACATAATTATGTAGATACTTTTATCACACAAAACAATATCTATAATATCAAAGCTAGAACTAGCTGCGTCAACAGATTAAATTAGATGGAAGACAAACATAGTTATCGTGTGTTTGCGTTTAAGATAAATATTATTTATTTGAGGGTGGCATAATCCGCTCATGCAAAAACTTACTGACTGATTAGTGTAATACGAACAAAGTAGAAATGTTGACTCAGAATTCTCGAAATATGGTAAATAAGTATAATAAAAACTAACTTGCTACAATACATTTTAAATGTGTATTGTTTTATCGGAAGAAGGGGAGACTCCCGTGACCACGGCTGCTGCATCCGAAACGTCGGGCCGAAGTTAAAAGTCATTTCCAAATAAGTTTAACTAATATATCGCGTTTTAAACCGTTAAAGTGTCCCCGTGACCACGGCTGCTGCAAAGCATCCGAAACGTTGGGCCGAAGTTAAAAATCATTTCCAAATAAGTTTAACTAATATATCGCGTTTTAAACCGTTAAAGTGTTTATTTAAATGTGTACTACTCGCGTAAACTATAGACAGTATTTAAGGGTTATGAAGTTTATAAACTTAAAATATATAGCTACTATACTACTAACACTGTCTATAGCTTACGCGAGTAGTACACATTTAGATAAAACACTTTAACGGTTTAAAACGCGATACTTATTTGACAATCAGTTTTTACTTCGCTGCTGTAAAGCATCCGAAACGTCGGGCCGAAGTTAAACATCATTTTCAAATAAGTATCGCGTTTTAAACCGTTAAAATGTTTTATTAAAATATGTTAAGTAATTTAATTAAGTTCGTTATTTTTTTGTGTTATTTTCACTAACAGGTCAGTTAAAACTCGATCTCAAAACACCGTGACGATAATACGACTTGTCGGGGAATTCTAAAACATAATTTAGACTTAAGGATTTCAAAACTATATTTTTAATATTGGGGATTAAATAAGGTACACTTTTATATTTTAAACACTGTCTCGAAAATAGTCAACATCGCTATGAAATGTGTTTTTGCACAAGCATTGAAACACACCGGAAACAATGTCTCATTGTCAGACAAATTCGTTTCTTCATAAACCTAATTTTAACATGAATTTATGACTTCTTTGAAAAGGGCAATTCACAGTAAATTAACTGCAAAGTTCATTACAATCAGGCGTCGTATGAAATTATTCAAAACGACACGAGAATAGCCCGAGATACGACGAGACAGGCAAAATACAATCTGTGTACCGACTCTCAGCCGGGTCCATTATAATGGAAGAACCGATATACTTATTACTTATAAAACTAGTGTCACAGAAAAATAAGTATATTATAACGTAAGTGTTATGATTGACAAGGGGGGGGAGGGAAGGGTCCCGAACCGCGCTTCTGACCAACCAATTGACTTGGTATCTCAATGCTAGTTCACGTCCCGCTTGTGACGTCCATTTTTTTCAATCTAAGACAACGCATCCGAAACGCCAGGCCGTAGTAAAAATAATTTCCGAATAAGCTTAACTAATATATATCCCGTTTTAAACAGTTAAAGTGTTTTATTTGAATCACCAGCTCTTAGACAAATGAAGACTTATGTCGATTATTCATCACATCCCTCCGGTTTGCGCTTGAGGTGTGTTGAAAGGCTCTATAATGAAGGAGGTTATGGTTCATAGTCCGCAGATCAGATTTTACAGAAATAAACATATATATGTTATAGTATTATACATATAATCCTTTAAAACGCAAGGTATTTAATTGTCATATAGCACTTTCTTAACCCAATGGTTAAACACGTCTGGCTGTGGAGACGCTCTGGTGTTTTTGAATCCTGGGAAAACACAAAATTATGTCTGTCCCACACTTCTAATTTAACTACAGCTCGACCAAAATCTGAGCGTCCTGAGGGGGACGCGTCCGAAAGGGAAAAATACAATACACTATTATATTTCACGTTTCAAACCGTTGAGAGTGCTACTAACGACTAAACCTCGTGTAAACTATAGATAATGCTGAAATTTGTTATTGGTAGGTATTGTTTACGAGATGGTATTTATAATAATTGACTTGTAACTATCTTTCCCGTTTAATTTATAATACAAACAAACGGGAAAGATATCTATTTACTTACTTATTAAAATGCAAATTTACACCTATAGTCGTAACCGATTGTGTATTAGTTAATTATTATAAATATTTATATTTAAAATAACCAGAGAATTATTTTAAACCAACTATAATTGTAAATTCGTACCTACTCGCATATAATAATATGTAATGTACAAAATTGTATTAACGCTTAAGAGAAATTGTATTTCTTGCGTAAATAAATGTCTTAAACCACAACTATACCTAAATATTATATAACCGTTAACCCCCGCGACCACAGCAAAGCATAAGAAATAAACAAAATAAAGATTGTTGTTAAAATAACTTAAAAATAATTAAACAAATATATTTCGTATTTTAATCCGTTAAAACTGTTTTATTTAAATTGATAATATATGATTTGAAAGCCTTATTAGTATTAGGTAAACAATATTATTAATTGTCAAGAAGTGAGTGATAATGTAAGGGGGGGATGGAAATATATATTTTTCTTCTGTTATATCGCACGTATGTATCACTGGCGCCAGAATTCTTAGATACCTCGTCCCCCTACAAAGAGATGTGATTTATGTGTCAGTGCAAACTGCAGACTAATAATGCGTAAATTATCACAATGAGTCTTACGTTCATAGAATGTTATTTAGTGGGAAAAGGTAAAAAAAAATTTATATAATAATTAATATAAAGGTTAAGAAAACGCTTATACATAATCGTGTCTTTTGGAGAATTACCGTTTCCAATTGAAAAAGATAATGAAATTTCAGAACACACAACATTTGAGTGAGATTATCTTTCACACATTAAAAGTAAAAAAGGCCCCCCCCCCCGACACTGAATCTCTATTTACGGTATAAGATATTATTTCAGTCAGTGGATTTCAGAATGTCAAATGCAAATTTTCTTTTATTGGAGAAAAAGTGAAGAGAAATCCCGTTTGTCGGGGTTAGTAGTAACAGGTAATTAATCAACAGATCCGATTTCCAACTGTGTCCAACGCGTATGTAAAATCAAGTTATTCGCTGCTATAGAGAAACGAGTGTCACATATTTTAAAAAGTTATTTTCGAATCATTAATTAATTTCCAAGTTCACCCCCACTTCTAAGCAATATCCTGATCTAATTCATCATGCCCCATTACGTCATAATACGCTTGACTTCTACCTTAAAAAAATGTAATATCAAAGGGTAGGTTAATGCATCGCAATCTCTGAATCGAGGGGTGCATAATTTATCATCTAGGCTGCTACCTCGGGTCTGAATTCTAACGCTATTTTTATTACATCACACGTTTCGTGAAGAATGAATTTCAAATGGTGTCGGAAGTTTATGTTGGGGGAATAAATCTCGATCCCGTACTACGTACCGTGATTGACGAAGTGAAAATCGAGAGTGAGTGACGTTCGAGTTCAGTATATAGTTTTACAATTGCCTAAGAGAAATACAATAAACAATGTAAAATCATCCATATAAAAATATATTTAGATTAAAAAAATACGCCATGAGCGGGAGGTGAAATAATATCCACAGGGTTCCGTGCTACTTGTGGAACGTGGATGCCGGTTTAAGTCCGGCCGGATCGTAAAATTTCTTTAATCCTAATAAACTTTTAATTTATATAATTCCATCATGTGCAATAATATATTAAAAATATGTATCTTTCCTAACGATTACTTTATTCAGAACGCACTGAACAACAGCACTGTCCGTTTTTACAACCTAAGGAGTTAGTTTTAGGATGTTATGATTGTATATGATAATAATATTATTTGTTTTTCTATTTTATTTGTGCAACCAAATGTTTTTGCTTTCTTTCCTTTCATACTAGTAGTGTAAATGGTTATGTCTAAATAACAAAAATCAAGCCTAGCGGTAAATTCGCGTATGTAAGTTTCGAGACACTGAAATGGTAGTAGGGGTAATATTGTGCTTTCTGAAAATAAGGACGTTAAAGAATATTCTGACGCTTCAAATGGACTCAAGAGTGATTTCCACCGAGCTGAATGATCATCATGACCTCTACATTTTTAATGTAAACGAAGCATGCAGGGTTAGGCAATATTGCAATATTATACGAACGTTATCTACAACGAATTCGAATTATTTAGGAAATATAAAGACGGTTGCTTACTGTTAACGTTAGTTATACAATATTTTGAGATTTATGCTACATATTATACATATTACTACACTGGCTGTTACACGCGACGTCGTCTGTGTCCCGTCGTTCACGTGAGTTAATCTATGAAAATAGACATGTACTGTCG